CAGGACCATGGCTCCTTTGGTGTTTTCGTTGTTGGGACCATGGGTTACTTCATGAAGGTATCTGGGACCTTGATCACAGTCTGGAGAGAGGAAATGGAGGAGGTTGAACATCATCATAGGTATGAATGTCGGCCCCAGGCCACCCAGAGTCTGCTCATTTGGCCTACCTCAAGGTGGAGAAATAAAATCAAGGTGGAGAAATAAAAACCCTGTGAAGCTGTGGTAGCGTCCTAGTTGTTGTCATGATGGCACCTGGGGGGTGGAGTAAGGATGGGCAATACCCGCCAGGACCAAAGAGAAGAAAACTGACCACACAAACATGACCTCACAAACATGCTTCCCCATATGCTGCAACAAAATCAGCAGAATGAGCTTAGTTTCCCAGTAAGCAAGGGCAAAAAATCCAGGAAAGTCCAGTGTGTGCCAATAAAGGGACAGGGTCCATGGAATTCAGAAAGTACAGTACACATGTTGAAAGCTCCAAAGTGGCATAATATGTACTGCACATGAAAGCTATCTAGTGTGAGGATGAGTGAAACAAAGAAGAAAAGCACTGTGCCAGTGACTTCCCGCTCTTCATTGTCAGCTCCCCCCAGCTCACCTCCATGGCTACCTACTCCCAGCACTCACTTCTGAGAGCACTCTAGCTTCATCAGACTGGTAGGAAATGACTGCACCATGTCCTGCTGCTCTTGGGGAGGTGGAGGGTAAGGAGTAGTAGGGGAGTATGCACACTGTGGGGGAGAGGCACTCTGGGTCTCTGTTGGGCTGGCATCTCTCAGAGACAGTTGGTCATTCACAATGTAGAAGCTGGAGGAAGAATGAATGAGCCCTCAGACAGCTGGACAAATGGAGGAAACCCCCACCCTCAATAACAATCCTGTTTCCATTCAGCAACCATTTTCCCAAAAAAACCAGCCCTTGGAGAGATACAGGCCACTTTCACTAGCTTTGTAGGTTTATCCCCAAACCGTGGACATTTTCACCACCACCTACCTCTACCCTTACAGCAGCCAAAACAGGTAGATAATCTAATCATTCAGAGGAGGACCTTGAGTAACACAGAGGTTACCAAGGTGAATGCTCGGGTCAGGGTGAAAACTGGCTATTCCAATACCAAAACCTATGCTCTTAGCCACTAGGCAGGACTTCTTTTGGGAACTACTGTATTTGCTTTATTCACTATTGGAGAGATCTGGAGTATAACATCGTCACCTTCCCACACCCTGGGACCAGGTTGGAATGGGTGATCCTCTAGGATCCAAAATACAGCACTTACTTGGAATTGTTGCCAGAAGTCAAAATGAAGGTCCGGGTGAAGGCATAAACACGAAGCTGACACATTCCTTCCACTTCAAAGACAAACAGCACCAACATACAGAGTTTGCCCATTACACACTCACCTGCTGTGTAACCTCATCAGTAACTTATTTTCCTATGTCACTTTGAAGGTAACCACTCAGGAAGGACTGTCCCCTGGGAGCCAGGGGGATGTGAACAAAGAGGTGGTTATCGTGGTGGTGTGTCTTGGGGTTGGTTCTGACTCATAGTGACCCTGTGCAGGGTTTCCGAGGCTATAAATCTTTATGGGAGCAGACAGTCTCATCTTTCTCCCACGGAACAGCTGGTAGTTTCGAACTGCTGACCTTGAGGTCAGCAGCCCAATTGGTAACCACTATGCTACCAGAGCTCCTTCAACAAAGGAGAGGAAAGGATAAGTACAACACCTCCCAGTGATAGGATTCTGAATCTGTGTCTGTCCCTATGACAATCTCTTCACGAGTTCATTTCATCATTTTTCACAGCAGTAAGAGAAAGGAATTGGCAGCCACGTTTCTGTAAATGAGGCAGCTTAGAGGTTTCGCAAGTTTGACAAGGTGGCAGAGTGAGGGATGAGGATGAGGCTCCTGAAAGTCTATAGCCTGGGTGCCGTCCCCTGGGATGTCCCGGGGCAGACATATATGGATATGACTCAGACCAGGGTGGGTTGGGGTCCGGGTGGGAGCTGGAGAGCACAGAGAGAAGAGGAAGGGAAGGGATCAGGGATTTGTGGAGAGTTCTGAGAGGGAGCAGTGGGGGACCTAGAGAAGGAACTCTACAGACACTCACCCTCCTTGAACAGCCCATTGACAGAAAAGCAGAGCATCTTTTCCTGAAATAGTGAGACAGCTCAGGCCCCCAGGATCCCCCTCAACCAACTACCCACCTCCGTTCTGAGCCTCCCTCTGGGAGAAGCAGGTGCTCACCGTCTGGACACACACATCCACCAGGAAGGAGCTGAGGTCATGCTGCGTTCTAGGCAGCACACTTAGGAAATCAACAATGTCATGTTTTGTGTGTTTCAGCAAATGAGCCCTCAGGTCTGAGAGGGCAGGAGAACAGAGGGTCAGGGGCTGCCTTGTTTACCTGGTCCCTAAAATTGACCCCATCATGACTTCTGTGCAAACGACTTACTGGGGTCCTTGCATGTCTTCATATTCCTGCTGTACCTGAAGTACGTGGCCAAGCTGCTCATAGGAGAAAAGGAAGAATAGGAGTTGGGAAACTGGCCAGTGTCTTCTGGGAAGTCACAGTGTCCAGAGCTGCCATTGGACCTAGGATACTCACGAAGCTGGGTCTTGAGGATTAAAGGGAATGAAAAGTGAGAAGCAGGCCTCACTGTGGTAAGCATCCAGGAGGCCCTGCCGATCCCCATAGTCATAGATCCAGTAGTACCTGTAGGGAATCAAAGGGGGTAGACGCTGTGGTCTGGGGCCCTAAATGGACTTGAAATCCACCCACTCTCTCCCCAGAGTAGACCTGTGCGTGGCTGGTCTGACCTCTCTTAACACGGCCCCACCACCCGGCCACTGCAAGGCCCCAGAATTACTTACTGCTTCAGGAATTTCAAGATAAGATTCTTCACAGTCTCTGATCCAAAGTCATCCCCCTGGAATGACAAGGTCCTCAGGACCATGACTACTGGACCTCTTAACCCAATACCTCATGCCCTGCTTGATCCCAGCTCCTTGATCCTGCTTGATCCTCACCTTGAAGAATGGTAAATTCTTGTGCTCTTCAGTGTCACAGACAACAGATGGGGATAACTCCTGACCATCCTAAGGGAAGGAAGAGGAAGTCAGCAGTGCAGACGAGGGGGCAGCACTGGATGGTCAGGGAAAATAAAGCTCGTGGAAAGAGGGAGTGTCAGAGGTCAGGGTTAAAGGGCTCTGGATATTGCAAGGGAAGGTTATTGTGCGGTCTTCTCTCAGGGGTCCTAGAAGCTGGTGGAGAACTGTGGATAAGGTCTGTATATACTTTCATGTTCCCTCATGAAGATTAGGGGTCAGAAAACCAAAAACCTAACCTGGACAAGGTCTAAGAGATTCAGGGCAGGTTGTAAGTGGCATTAATACCAATGAAGGAGTCAAGGATAAAACTACAAAATACACTTACCAGACGTAATAACTTGGGGAACAATTCCAAGAGGGTGCTACAAAATATCAAGACAAAACAGAAAAACAAGTAACATCAGAGCCTCCAGACCCTGTTAAATCCCATGTGGACTCAAGCAGAGAGAAAGCTAGTGTGCTCCCTCAGCAGTCCCCTCTCCCCCTCTCTTTCTTTTCAGGAAGCTGACACGGGACAGCCCTGATACCCTTCTCCAGTGACACAGAAACAGCATGTGGAGACCAGTCTGACTCACAGGTGAGAGACAGAGAGGGGAGAAGCCAGGGCACGAGGTCCTTCCAGTGGACCTGGGCTGAAACATCCTACAGAGCGCACCACTAACCTTACGTTAACTGAGTTATCTTGGAAGGTGTCTGAACACATCTCTTCTGGCTCCAGCCCTTTCGCCTTGTCCAACTCTCCTTCAGACTTCAAATGCAATTATGAACAGGAAACATGAACCGGGGGGAAACCCAGGAGGTCCCTGCTCCCCTAGCCCTACCCTGTCTCACAAATTACCTTACCTGCCTCACACCATCACCATGATGTGCCCGACTCCCTTCCCATCCAAGAGTGATCTGGATCCACTTCTCACCTCATTTTTGGAGAAATCCAGGCTCTTGATGTTTGGGACCTTCTGCTTGGTGTCAGTATGGTCAACCAGTTGGTAGAGTTTGTTGTCGTTTGAGTTGAAGGGTAAAAGCTGTGGTGTGGAAAGAGCTAGAGTGAAGGTTCTAAGAATTGATATCTGGGATAAATCAGCCTTCCATCCCATCAGTGCCATGTTCAGCACTGAGCCTAAGGCCTCACCTTGGCCATATTCTCCTCATCCATTGGCAGGGGAACAATCATGGCGCTTGTAGGATTTGACCCCATTTGAGTATCATGGGTCATCACACCTTCTGGAAGACCAGAGGAGGTAATCAGAATTATGTGAAGGGTCCACCTGCCTAGCTTGGGCACTACCACCTGCCTAAGTTACTCTCTAAAATTCCCTCCCAAACAGACCCCTCTCCACTCACCTGCCCTAAAATTACTGTTGTCAGCCACACCTGGGTCCGAATGGCGTCTCAGGAGGTCAAGAGCTTTCTGGCGGGCATCGTAGCATTCCTTCCGCATGACCTGCACAAAGATGGGCATCAGGGGCTCCGAGGATGGGGAGTTGGTGGTTGCAATTGGTGAGGTAAGAAAACATGGTGGGTCTGGGTGTGGGTGCACATGTCTTGAGTCTGCATTACCTTGATCGGTTTTACTGTTTTTGGCTTCCGTTCCTTATGCACAGAATGTGGTAAAGCAGAGGGACTGTCAAAGATAGATATCTGCAGAGGAGACTAGCGAGATTGTGTAAATACCGGGAAATCTCAATTCCAAAATCAAGGAAGACCCATCCCCAGCCTAACCTCCTGCCCCTAGCTGCCCCGGCCATGTCCTGAAACACACCCTATTATTGTCCTCATCCCAAATCTTGTCACTGAAATCTTCAATGTAAGTCCAGTGCTGACATTCATGACATAAAATCAGGCTTGTAATTGTTCATAACGAATGACCAGTGAGAGGACCAAGAAAATTACAACATGAGGCTTGAGTCCCAGCTCAGTCTGGCTCCTACACAGACCCTGTGTCTGCTCAGCTGTCTTCCCATCCTTTCTAACATTGGCAATGGTGAGGGAGACACAGCTTCGCTTTTGTATCAAATTCAGCAGACATTTCTCATCATATTGAAAGCCACGTGGAATCTCGGATCAAGAGAAAGGCTAGGAGAGGAGACTAATGTGATGGAAATAAAGCTTAAAGACAGATCCAACCATGTGTTCTTTTCAGAGTTTTATCAAGCTTTAACTTCAGTTCTAAACATAGACCAATGTCCATTATTTCTCACTTTTGTGCCAGACATGGGTCTCAGAAATACACTTTCTGTACATTTCAGTATTTTCTTCCAAATAATTGACTTGAGGTCTTTAACATGCTCTCCCTTTCACAGGGTTCCAGGCAATTGTACCTAAAGCAGTCCTGCCTGCCCTTCCGACAATGACTCTAGAAAGTGAAAACCATCCCTGTGCCCTCCTCCAACCCCTTAGTTTGAGCCAAGCTGAACCATGCAGTGGAGAGCATCTCCATCTTTGTGTGAGCAGTTTCCACTTTTATCTGTACACAATGGGTTCCATTCTGCCTGCCTTCAGTCTCTTCTCTTTTTATCGCTTCTCCCAAACTGCCATCACACAAATCGAGGATGCTAACACCTAGTAATAGTATGGACATGTTCCCAGCTCCCCGTGCTGCACCAAAGTACCTAGTGTCTCCACCACATGAGATCAGCACAACTCCCCCCAACCAGTGTCTACTGCACACTGGGTCCATTATGCCAGGACACTCACTGTGATCTTATACCACCTCCTGATGGTCCCATCATGTCTGTTCCCCTCCGTTTCTGCCTCTGGAAGTTTTCTCTCTCCGTCCATGTTACCTCGGATTTGTTCTCCTTTATGAGCGCTGTCTCTCTGACAGTAGGTTGGAATCCAATAAGGGGTGCTATGAGGATGTAGAGAAAAAGAAGGCAACCATAAATGTCAAGAAAGTTTTCTAAAACCTTGCTATACTGATGTTAAGGCTAAAATGAGGCTTGCTCAATCAATCAAGAAATCCGGTCCTAGCATTCTACCAGGTTGGAGAGAAGAAGAGTTATTTAAATGCAGCGTTATCTATCCCACTGTCTGGTGCACGACACTGGTTACTTACTATCTTACTCCAGGACCCATATGGGCATTGCTCATTGCTACGTCTCCATGTTGATCCTGGCTGGATGATGGATGGATGCCAGGACCGAGTGGCTCAGAAGAGCTGGAGTACCTCCTTTGTGAAAGTCCCCAGCATCTTGCTCTTCCTTGGAAATAAGCAACTTCTTGCTTGCTCCCTGAAATTGGAAACAACAGAACAGTAGTGGTCGGAATGCCAGAAAACGTCCTGGGAAAATACCATGCTGTATAAGAAACAGCCTTGAATTTGATAATCTACATGTAATGCTACAAAGTTTGAAAGACTTTACTATGATTCTACTTCCTGGGATGTCAGAATCTCACAGCCCAGATGACAGCAAGCAGAGAGGGAAGGGCTTGGGAAGAGGGTCCACTCTGACATGGTAGTATCTGCTCCTCCATTTCCAACCTGGGTGACCTGGGACGAGGTGCTTAGCACCTCGAACCATTACCTCCTCCTTGTGCTCTAGGAGATTAATAAAATTTATACCGGATACTTGTTGTTATGGTTCAAACAAAGGTCAAAGGCAAATGCCACATCTTGAAACAACACTTAGACAACTGAAATGAAGCCTGGAGAGAAAAAAATAATGAACACTACAAAAGGAGGAGGTGGAGAGTGCAAGGAGATACAGTGAATACATCTAACACATGTTCAGTAGACCTCTGGTAGGAGAGAGCAGGGACAATGGAGTAACATTTTAAAAGATCATAGATGAGACATTTCCAAAAGTTACAGAAGACACTATGTAGGTGTACACATATTATTAAGAGAAAATATATACTGCAAGACAAAATCATTATGAGAGAAATGAGGGAGATTTCATAGTGATAAAAGGCTCAATTCCATAAGAATATAATAATAAAACAACTCTACAATTTTGGGTGCCTCATGTCATAGAAGTGAAAATATACACAGCCAAAGCTGATAGAAATATTTGGAGAGATGAGCATGACCACAGTCAGAGTGGACGTTTCAATGAGGGAAAGATAAAACAGGCCAGTCCAAATGAGGTTAGATGGAGAAGATCTAAACAACCTGAGTAGCACAATGTACTGCATTAGCATGGAACATTGTACATAACGACTACACATGGAAAGTTCTAGGACAGGCTATATATTGGGTCATAGAACAAACCTCTAGAAACACCTATGGGAGTAATGCAATCGATCTTAAATGAGTGGCCGGGGGATTCAAAAGAGTGTGGATGATTTACCCGCCCCTCTCCAACCTCCAGTATGAAACCCAAGAACGTTAATTTTCAACACCCCCACCTTTGGCAACCCTCACTAAACTGTGAACTACTTGAATCAGGACTTTCCCCTCAATCAAGGGGAAGCTATCACCTCAGCCATGACCAAAATACAAAGAATGGAATTATTTCCATGTGGAACCATGACAGGGTTCTCAGTGCCCATTCTGTCCCATTCTTCAGGAGAGTGGACAAGTCAACTGTCCTCTCTATTACTGCCCCCACCCCTAACAAAGGGGTTTCACTGGTTTCTGATGGGGGAGAAGGAGGGGGCCCCAACCCCTCAGGTTTTTGTGCTTCCCAACTCACCCTTGGTGTGTCCTGCAGCCAGTAACATGTCACCACTGTCCTCACAGGAATGTCCTGAGGAGAATCTGTGGGGTATGAAAGCTGGTGTTTGAGGGTGATCGACCGAGGCTCTTGAGGAAGGCAAGAGTAGTACTCAAAGGACCTTGTAAGGCCCACACCAAGATGGAGTCCTCACAGGAAGTTTCTTCTCCAAGAACATCAAGAGAAGACCCGTGGGGCCCAAGGAAGACTTGGTGTCCTGTTCGTATTGCTCCCCTGAGTTTGCTACCAGCCTGACACCCAGGAAGCCAGTTCCAACTGAGCTATCCTCCTACCCACGCAGAGGTGATTAATATAGTCACAAGGCATGGTTCTCAGTTATTATAGCTACAAATCCAGGGATCTGAGGGTAGGTTTTGAGCCTTTTGCAGTACATTGTGTTCCTTCATTCTTCAAACTCAAGGGACTCTGTGAGCCTGCTGCATGCTCTGAACTTGCTACATTACATCTATTTTTTAATGCATTCCTCACAAGCAGGCTATGAATACAGAACCACCAGTTCTCTGAGGTTACTGAGGTTTATAAGTTGTAAGACCTTGTCTGTAGTCACAGAGTTGCTACTTGGGAAAATGGAGTGGAAATAAATTGCATCGGATGGGGATGCCCCCTCCCCCCCCCCCATACGTAGTTTACATAAAGGCATGCTGCATTATATGGGGCTTTCTTAAATTAAGCAAAATAACAAAATGACTTGAAAATACTGAGAAATAACTGTACCTTTCCAGAGAGAACTCATGAAAAATCAGACTTGTTTTCTATAAAGGAAATCCCAAACTTTGGGAAATTCCAGGAATGAGTTTGTTGGTAGTAACTTGTGTGTGTATGCATGTGTGCCTGCAGGGTGGAGAGGCACAAGAGCAATGCTTTTTTTCTTTATAAACAAAAATGTATTCCATAGCGATAGACTCCTTGTGGCAGTCACAGCCAGGATTTCAGCTCTGAAAGTCTCAGATTTTGAGACTTTGCAAAGGAGGGAGGCACACTACCTGGACACCTCTGCATCAGAGAGAACTTTCTGGAATTTCCCACCACCTGGATACAATCTCTGTCTCCTGAGAAAGAAGGTCAGCCCCTCAAAGAAGGAGCTGAAGGTTCTGTGCAGGGAGAATGTAAATATGAATATGAGAGTGTGTGAAAATTTAGGGTGA